AGGGGTGAGGGTCCTCTCCTTCCAGGGTCACTGTCCCTTCCACCCCTGGTGACACAGCTGGACAGTCCCACTGTCCCTTCCCTCCCAGGATGTAGATCAGTATCATGAGCCTCAGATGTGACCAGCTGGGAATAGGCCCTTACCCATTTTTGTCTCCAAACCAATGCAAATTCAGGAGGGGAAATCACCAGGACATGGGGGTGGGGGACAAATGCACCCCCTCACACCCCTCTCCAAGGCTGGGCTGGGACCAACCAGCTCTGACGCCCTTGCAGGGATCTAGACACTCATCATCCTGACAATACACCACTCGTTGGATGAGTAAGGCATCTCCCCCTCCCTTCCAAAGCTTCACCCTCCTCCACAATCCAGCACTGGGCTCTTGAATCCCACCAAACTGGGGACCGTTTTCCTGCAGTGATGGAGCCTGTGGCTCTCCCAAACCCAGTGGCAGTGAGAGCATCCTGCTGCAGCACCCGAGCTGGGAAAAAACATCCGCTTCCTCCTCCTCCAGGCAGGCACGTCCCTGCCGTAATGCGGTGGGTATTTATTATGCTGATTCCTCAGAACGCGAGGGCTTAACTGCAAATTACAATCAATAGCCCCAATCCCCTCGGGGCAAGTTCATCATTTAGCAGGCGCAACCAGAGGAATTCAAAACTATTTGCCAGCCATAAATCCTCCTCTCTGCAGCCTCCTGAGCCAGCCCTGTGCCATGCACGATGGCTGTTTGGGGTGACCCTTGTCAGCATTTGAGACAATTAAGCTGTCACTGCGGATCGTGACTCTTACATATGGCCCTAAGCAGCACTTTGGGATGTCAGGGCGGTGGGGTGAGGGGAGCTGGCTGAGGCAAACCCGCCGCAGTACCCATCTCTCATTGAATTAAATGAATGTATTTGGAGGCAGAGTCTCTTTTTATTACCTTGCAAACGATTCCTGACTAAATTAAATTATAAGAGGAGTGTTCAGCCAATCAAACCTGCTTGATTGCCTGGAACAGGCATTTTAAACAGAGCACGCCTTGGGCTGTCGCTGGTTCCAGCGCTGGCTGGAGGATGGCTGATGGGCTGCAGCGAAGCTGATCCACCCCAATCTACACCTGGAGCACTGCATGGCTGTGCACAGCCAGGGGAACAGGCCCAGGGATGGGGGAGGATGAGCACAGCTCTCTGGGAACAGCATGAATGAACTCTGAGTCGGCTGGAAGAGCAGGGGAATGGCAGGAGCACCAGCCAAGCTGCTTCTCCGAGCATCATCCAGTCAAGGCTTCCCTCATACAGCAGGGAAATGCAGAGTGCTGCTCTTCGGGGGCCAAATCCACAGCTCCTGCCTCCATCCACCCCCTACCCTCCTGAAGAGGAGAGAGCAGCCCTTTTCCAAACACACAGCAAGGAGGTTCTGAGCACATCTCCCTCCTGCAGCTTGTCCACAGAGCTAATAGTGGGTCTGGCACATCATCAAATGGTTTGGGTTGGAAGGGACCTTAAAGATCATCTCGTTCCACTCCGTGCCATGGGCAGGGACACTTTCCACTAGTCTAGTTACTTCAGCCTGGCCTTGAACACTTCCAGGGATGGAGCAGCCACAGCTTCTCTGGGCAACCTGTGCCAGTGCCTCACCACTCCCACAGCCAAGAATTTCTTCCTGATACCTAATCTCTATCTCCCCTTTCAGTTTAAAACCATTCCCCCTTGGCCTGTCACTGCATGCCCACATAAAAATTCCTTCTTCACCTTTTTTTTGTAAGCTCCCTTTAAATACTAAAATGCTGCAGATTCCATAAGCCTCAGGAGGCTCCGATACAACCCTAGCACTGCAGCAGATTCCCCTCTGCCCTTTGGACCTTGCCTTCTCAGGATTCAGAGATCTCCATGCAAAGCCACTCCTGCAAGAACTGCAACGTTTGCAGCTTTTAAGATCAGTGTAGAACAATTAGGGAAGAGCCTGGAAGAAGGAATATTGTAATTAAATGGTGCATTTTCAAATGCAGCTATAAACTTGCTGGCAAGAAAGCTCTCACTGAAAAAAAGAAGTTAGCTTCTTCTGGCTTAACTATTTTTACTTCATCCCCATTCCAATTTTAATCATGGATCAGTTCATTTAGAACAGGATAAAATTCACAATTTCCTAAATGAAGCTAATTAGACAAAGGGGTTGTAACAATGATGTGCTAAAATCAATGTGAAACCCAAACACACTGATGCAGCACCAACTATTCAAGGACAGGTTTTAGCAGGTAACACTGTACATTTCAGCCTCACCCCAAGCACTTCCCTGGCTCCCAGCACTCCCTGGGCTGAGGATGAACCCTGTCAGCAGTTCTGCCTGCCCGGCCTGGCAGGCTCCAGGGTTTGGAGGGAAAAGTCAGAAATTCAGGGACAAAATGAAACCAAAATGTCTTTGTGAGGGCAATTCTGCCTGTGTGACCTTCACAGGATATGGGAAGGGCGAGTTAATGTGCTGGAACAGCATCCCACCCAGCTCACACCGGGAAGGGGCTGCTTTTCACTGCCAGCTCAGGGATAACGTGGATAATTTGGAGCCTGTTCTCCACCCACTGCCTCCGTGGTCAGGATTTGCTTTGCACTCCAGCTGTGAACAAAGCCAGGGACAGGGAAGAGGACTCACAGAGTTCAAAGTCACCTTCTCAGCTCAGGCACTGTGTATGATACCTACTTATCTCCCCTCACCAGCCTCTTGCAGTCACTTCACCTTCTATTTCCCTCTACAACAGCATCCAGGATTCCCCAGGTGGTAGAAGGGAAAAATCAGAGTTAGAAAAGATACTAAAATCATCCACCCACTGTTCACATGAAATAGCAACTTTTTATTTTCTCAAATAAAATAATCCTTCCATTTCTGCTTGATCAGGTTGTGAGGGGTGGGGAGGAGCCCCGAGGAGGGGAGGAGCCCTGCTCAGACAGGTGTGTCACACCTGTCCTCACAGTTCTGCATCCACTTCACACCGAACCCTTTTCAATGAAAGAAAATAAAAGCTATTGGCAGCTCTTCAGCCCAGAAGGCATGAGCTGTCCTCTATCAGGCACTCTGAATTCTTTAGCAACAGTATTCAATGGAAAAGCATGATTAGAAAAATCCCAGATTTCTGATGAAAAACATCCAGACAAGCAACAACGTATAACAGAGCTGGGGTAAAACCCATGGCATGGGATGGTACCTTGAGCTCCAAAGAGCTGTGGCTGGAATTTAGGGGCATGGTTAAGAAGGAGAACCCCAGCTTGGGGACAGGACAACTCCTGTCCAAAGGAGGAGGTTTCCAAGGCAGTTCCTCAATGAGTGATATGCCAGAAATGAATCCTCACTGCAGTCTATGGCTCTGGGATTGTACCCTGCTGCAGTTTGGTCAAGTTAATCATTCCATAACAGTTTCTCATCTCTCAGTACCAGTTGGACCAGGATGTCCTGCAAACCACACTGCAGGGCTAAGGAGAGGCACGGAGTGCCAAGTTTTAATGTTAATTGAGGTGGGACTGTTATAAATCGGGGTTGTCTCAACTGCAGCAACATGTCCAGCAAGCAGGGGAGGGAGAACTTTGATTCTGTTTCTGATCAACGCTTAAATTAAGTGGATGGATAAGCAGCAAAGCATCAGCAATGTTCTCTCAGCCCAAAGCACTGGGCCAGATTTGTTCACACAAACCCAAACACTTCCCACTGGGAGGTGAACACATGGATCCATGTGCAAACCCTACAAGGGGCAGGCCACTGTGGGAACCGTGTCCTAGAAGAATTGGCTCCTTTTGAATTTTTAAGAAACACTACTTGGCCTGAAATGCTGCAAGATAGAAACCCAACTTCCCCATCCCCACCTGCAAGCACAGCAGCCTCATTTTCTGCCTTTCTTCAAGAGAAGGAGCTTCACAGAAGCTTTCTTGGCTGTGGAACATGTCTCCCTTTTCCTTTTTCCTTTTTTTTTTTCTTTTTTTTGTGTCTTTTGTTTTGTTTTTACGTGGTCAGTTCCAATTGCAGTGATTAAAGACAAGGCCAGGCACCAGCAGTTACTTCTTAACAATCTGGATGACATCTTCATGCTCCATCATATGGGTTAAACCCACTCTTTGAGGGCTGTATTTTGTGCTTGTTCCCTTTAAAGGTAAAAAAGAAAAAGGGGGGAAGCAGGGTTAGGAAAAGCCGAGTCAGAGACACCTGAGGACAGGGATCCATTACCTGTCAGACACTTACCCACACCAAGGCATATTTGAACTGGCTGGCTAAGGACCTGTGAATCCGATGGCACTGCAGGACAGACAGGTAGAAGTTGAGGTAGTTAAAGGACATCACTTTGTAAACAACTTTTTCAATATCCATGAGTTAAAAGAAAATCAAGTCTATGGGAGAAATTACAATAGTGACTTTAGGAATCAGTTAACAGCACTGGAGAGAAGACAGAACAGACACAGGAATCACCAGCCCACATAAAGCCTCATCCCACTGCTTCCATGTGCTTTTTCACTGGGATGCATTAAATAACTCTTAAACCTTTCATAGCAGCAACCTGAGGCAGATAGAATCAGTAAAGGCAACACAAGGAGAAGCCCAACTAAACACTGACATGTCCTGAGCTCTAAGAGGCACAAATCACAGCAAGCTCCAATAGGAACCTTCCTCCTGCACACAGGGAAATGAAAAAGATGCAGAAAAATTACCACATGCTCCACAGAGGCTCCTTTCCGTAGGATAATGGCATCTGTGAAGTCAGGTCTCTCTGTGGAGAAGCAGAAGGGAGGGAAGAAAAGCATTGGATTTCCATCAAGTGTGTTCTAATATGCTGACACCATCTCACATTGCCTTGTGCTTACTACTCCCAAATTCCTCCTTCCAGCTCCCACACAGAACAGGTATCCAATACTTGAAAGCATCAAATCAGCTCTCTACTACCCACACCACACAGTCAGCAGCTTCCTCACAACCCACCTGATCCAGCTCCATGCCAAATACTTGACTTAGGACAAACAAAACCACCTAAGGCAAAACATACCTGCTCAGGGAAAACCAAACCCCCCAAGATTTCAGAGCTTAACAAGCTCAGATAAAGTTCCTTAATCTCCTCACATTCACCCAAATTCAGCTGTTCACAACCAAACAGAACAAGTTATAGATGTGCCTTCACCACTGGGAGAAGCTGCAAGTGGATTATAAAGCAAAAGGAGGATCAAAGGCATTCCCGAGGGCATGGGAATCACCTACTTGCAGTAGGAACAGGAGATTTCTTCAGGGTAGTGATGGGCTGAACAGATCAGAGTGTGCAGAATAAGGGAGAAAGCTGTGAACTTGCACACTTTATTTCCTTGTACCATGCAAAGACTTAGGAAAATTCAGCTCTTGTAAAATGGCATAAGATGGTGGGATACACACATGGCAGGATCAGGTGGAACAGAAAGATGGTTAGGAAGGGTATAATTTGGAATTACATTTTCAAGCATTTTCAAGTCACTAACCCTGCTGGCAACCTGTCTGCCTTACAAGAGCAGCAGCCCTTTGTGCCTTTCAAACCTTCTGTTCAGCTCATGGTCACTTACGTCCTCGTTTCTTGGTGTAGATGCAGGTAAGTGCCAGGTATTCCCAGAGCTTCTCCAGCAAGTAGTCCAGGTTCAGTTTCATGCCACAGCTGCAAAACACCAGGAACATCTGTTTACTGCTGTTGTGATTTAGAGATCCGGAAGAACAACGTGAAATGTCTTATTAAAGTGTTGAGGAATGAGGAAAAAGTCTTTCATGAGGGCAGTAAAGGAAAAACACAAGGTGAAATGGCCTTAAGCTGAAGGAGGGCAGGTTAGGTTAGTCATCAGGAAGAAATTCCTTACTGTGAGGGTGGAGAGGCACTGACACAGGTTGCCCAGAGAAGTTGTGGACTCCCCATCCCTGGAAATGTTCCAGGCCAGGTTGGACTGGGCTTGGAGCAACCTGATCTAGTGGGAGGTGTCCCTGCCCGAGGCAGGAGGGTGGAGAGACAGGAGCTTTAAGGTCCCTTCCAATCCAAACCATTCCACGATTCTGTGAAATAAACTGGGCTTGCAGGTGGTTGAGCAGCTTTGAAGCAGCAAAGTCCCATTGGAAATATCAGCACTCCTAAGGAAACAAGCCAGACTGTCTCACTCTGACCTTCAGACAGCACAGAAAAGCCAAGCAGCCTGTCTCTCCAGGGGAAGGAAGCCTGGAAAAAGCTGCACAGCAGCTCTGCTTCTCACCCCAGCAGCCTTGGAAGAAGCCCTTTCCTGGAAGAAGCTGGGGGAAGGGGTGTGAAGTCACCACCACACCATGCAGACCAGCAGAAAAGGCAGTGTGACATCTCCTACCTGATGACAACACTGTGAGGCCTCCGAGCAAGCCGATCCACTTCCTCCATAGATATCTGGTCAATCTTGTTATAAACCTAAATCAAAGGGGAAACAACACAGCCTTTAGCAAGACAATTCAGCAACACTGTAAGACATGTACACGGAGGTGTAACAAGGTAGTTCAGCATCTCAAACCGCAAGGCAGACCCTGTCAGAGGAGAGCCAAGGCTCTCAGTAAAACAAACTGTTAAAATTCAGAAGCCTGAGCAAAAATTTTGGCCTTTTAAAATTCTCCCTTTGGGATGAACTTGGAACACATTCTCCAGTATCTTTGATTTCAAACAGACCCAGTGGCTACAAACAGAGCTGTTAAGGGACCTCTGGCACACAAGGGACCAGCAGTGAAAAGCCAAGCACGGAGCTGGCAGCAGGGGAATCGCAGGATCTGCACGTGGGAGCAAATTCCCAGCCCAGGATTGGCAGCTCCAGGGCAGCAGGCAGCCACAAGAGGGCCCAGGGAACACGTACAGCTCGGATGCATAGCCAAAGCTTATAAAAATCTTCCTGTTGAACCGTTTACCACCTCTTAAACACCAAATTGCTATTTTTTTTGCAGCCAGAAACAAGGGCATATAGCGATGCAACTAGGGGGAACGGTTTCACACTGCCAGAGGGCAGGGATAGATTAGATATTAGGAAGAAATTCCTCCCTGTGGGGGCTGCTGAGGCACTGGCACAGGTGGCCAAGAGAAGCTGTGGCTGCCTCATCCCTGGAAGTGTTCAAGGCCAGGCTGGATGGGGCTTGGAGCAATCTGGTCTAGTGGAAGGTATCTCTGCCCAAGGCAAAGGGGTGGAATGAGATAATCTTTAAGATCCCTTCCAACCCAAACCATTCCATGATTCTATGAAAATCCAGGTTTCCCTCAGCACAGCACAGAGATGTGGGATGAGACAAGAATCAGGTGTTTCCAATACTCACATAGAGGCATGGCATGTAGACCCTGTTGCCTACAATCACATCAATGAACTCATCAGGGGAACAATCCTCTCTGAACAGGACCTCAGCATTGAAGATTTCTGAGTGAACATTGTCAAGGCCCAAATCCCAACACACCACTGCCAGCCAACAGGCCGAGCTCCCCCCTGAGAGCCTGTTGTCAACCCAGCAAGCACCAAAGTGACACCAAGGCAGTCCCACAGCAGGAACCACCTGACTCATGAGCTGCTGATGGCTTAAGGGTCTCATATTTTAGGAAAGGATACTGTATTCATGGAGGATGAGCTGCACCAGCTTCTCAGAGCACTGAGTCAACGTGACAGTGGAGTTGAAGGAGATGCCTCCACCTTTCTTGGGCTGCAGGAGGCAATAAAGCAACATAAGAATGGTCTGCAAAACCCACAATCCTCCCCAGCCTCTCCAACATGAGAAGCAGCACAGGCTGAGCTCAGCTTTAAGCAGGCAGCCAGACATAAGCTGTGCTTGCAGGAGCTCAAGAAGCCTCACCTTGAAGTAGATATTTGGTTTGCTTTTGTTCAGCCTGATTCCTACAGATTCCAGTTCTTTCTCCAGCAGGGCCCTGCAAGGACACTGCACATTAGCACCTATGAGGCTGAGTGTACCATGTGACACCCAGACCTTTCCTTTTTTACTTTCATGTTGATACAGACCTGCCATAAGCTTTCATTACAACCTAAACCCCACACCTTATGCAGGATAGAGGCTGTGGCTGGTTGACATTCCCATCTCTGAATGAGAATTTCCTGTGGGAATGATCCTTCAGCTGAGAAGCCCAAGCCAGTCAGCTAGGATGCTTCTCATGCAGTTCAACCTCCCTTTCATACTCAGTAGCTGAAGTCCTCACTCCCCAGGTGCCCTCCACAACACCTCAGAGAGCCTGAACATCTTCTGGGCCCATCACCCCCATTCCAGCAGCACACACTCACCTCTGCACCTCACCCTTGGTGGCATCCAGCATCATAATAACGACATCTGCTGTCCTAGCCACCGCAATCACCTGCCGACCTCTGCCCTTCCCTGAGGAGACAGGAGGTGGATGTATATCAGCAAGAGGAACCAGCCACGAGTTCTGTGACAGATGGGGACTCCTGCCCTGTGCAGCAGCTTGGAAGCATGGAAAACAATCCTGCAGTGCTGTCCTGGCTGCAGTCAGCTGCTGGGGGCCCTTACACCAGCTCTAGGCAGCATAGACAGCTCACCCAGCCTGTGCAGAGATGTTACACTTCTGATCAAAAAGGAGAGAGATCTTATTAACCAGGCTATGTTCCTCCAAAAAGAGACCAGTAAGAGATTCTTCCAAAGCCTCCTAAGGCATTTTCTTGCACTGATCTTTGGCACTCTCTCTGATCTCTTCTCTCACTGGTCTCTGACACTCACTGCCGGGTGACCAGTAACAGGACCCAAGAGAATGGCATGGAGGTGTGTCAGAGGAGGTTTAGCTTGGGCATCAGGAAAAAGTTCTTTCCCCAGAGGGTGTTTGGGGCTCTGGAATAGCTCCCCAGGGCAGAAGTTATGGTTCCAAGCCTTGACAGAGCTCAAGGAGCATTTGGAGAATGCTCTCAGGCACAGGGTGGAATTATTGGGGTGTCCTGTGCAGAACCTGGAGTTGGCCTGGTGATCCTTCCAACTCAGGATATTCTGTGATTCTGTGATAGCTGAGAAGCTATCTTCAGACATGATCAGCCAATCAGCACAATGACTACACAGAGGGACAAAGCCAATTTCTTCCCAGATTCAGGAGTCATGGGAGGACTGGCAGGATCTCAGGGAATTAGTCAAACAAGGTTAGTGTTTAGCTGCAATTTCCCCCTCCGCCTCTCCAGTATCTTTCTTTAGATTTCCTCTGTACCAGAAAACAGATGAGGCAGATAACACTCAGGCAGGAAGGTGAGAAGTGACTGGCTTGCTTTGGCTCCCACCTCCAGAAATGCATCCTTCTGCTACATATAGTCTCCTACGTGGGCTCAGGGACAGGAATCGTGCCTCACATGGGATCAAGGACTCTGAACATTTGGAAAGCCAACGTGGGAACTCTTGGCCCAGGAAAACTGCTACGTCTGAGACACCCAGGGACACTACTGAGGGCAAACCTCTCCTTTACATCAACACAGAGATGAGCCAACCTTGTGCTGCTCCTTCGATGATTCCAGGCAGATCCAGCAGCTGGATATTGGCTCCTTTGTACTGAAAAGGAAAAAGAAGGATGGAAAGTTGAAAGCTTTGTGCAGGGCACCTGAGCTGCCTCGAAAGCCTCAAGCATGTGCTGGGGTCCAAATCCTGTGGGGAGTGAAACTGGGTGAAGCTGACAGGGCAGGGGAACTCTGCACAAAGCTGATGTCTCTGTTCTGAGGCAACTTCCAGAGGGTTTGCTACGAGCTGTGCTCAGCAGCACACACAGCTATACATTAGGTCCTGATCCGCTAAAGCATCCCATGACTGCAGCTGGACAAAGCAGCAGCAAAACAGCACTACAGTCACGTTATCCCATGCTGGTGGAATGGAAAGGAAAAACAACCCTTCCTTTCTTGGGCTAATGAGAAAGCTCTGTAATGAGCAAGTGCCATGTTTCTTACTGTGTTGGATTAGAACCAGTACCAGGGAAAAAAAAAAAAAATCAGGAGTCTCATTCCTTAGATCTGCAGGGCATTGGCTTTCCAGCTGTTGTTGCAGCAAAGCCTTCAGTAACAGTTAATGAACAACAGCAGCTCACAGCTGTGTTTGGATGTGTTATACTACTTATGTCCCTTTTCACACCAACACAGCTCCTCTCATGATTTAACTCCCCTTTCCATCCTGACCCAAACTTCCTCATTACTCTTGGACACTTTTTAGTTTGATGCCCTTTATCATTTGCTTTCCTGATGGATGCTTAGGCCACCACTAATAAAACTCCTCAAGGACAGGAGTAGCTGTACTTTGTTTCAGAATTGATCACAGTACAGATTGCCTCTTTTAAAGCTTCATTAAAAACAAATCTGTCAAGGTTTCCAGCCATCTGGTCACTGGCACCAAGAGTGATTATAAAAAATTCAGTTGAGAATTGTTGTATTGCTCCGGTCAGTCAAACAGCAGCACACAAATCCTGATCAGGCAGTCAATCCTGAAGAGTTATGGAGTTTAGGGAAGTGCTAAATCAGCATTGCAGGCTGCAGAAGACCTGATACCACCAAGCACTCAAGACCTCCTAAATTTTAAAGCAAAATCCAGCAGAGACCTTTAGATGTCTTTGCTCCCTAGTGGTAGCACAAGTGTGACTGTGCAAACACAGACTTACACAACAGTTTTCCAACCACAACTATGCCAATGGGATGAGAATCCTACTTACTTCTATGACTCCTGGGATACAGGTCAGTGTTGTGAACTCGTATGACGCAGCTTCGCTGGCGGTCGAGGTCATTAAACTCAGAAACGTGGACTGAAAGGCAAGAGATGAGCATCACCCGAGACAGGCAAGCGAAGTGCTCAACAAAACAAGCAACAAGTGCTCCTCGGCCTGCAAGAGTCATGTTGTGGCTGTTCCAGGCACAGGGACTGAAGTGGTGGCACTGTCACTGAACAGCAGTAAATCCTGTGCTCTCACCTCTGTCCTCAGCAGTGCTGTGCCTGGGCAAGACCACCTTTCAGGCTCTTACCACAGAGCACTGCAGATCATACAATATCCTGAGTTGGAAGAGACCCATTAGGATCATCAAAGTCCAACTCCTTGCCCTGCACAGGACAGACCAAGAATCAAACCACATGATTCTCCACACAGATGAGAGTGTTTCCATAGCTCTAACTTCCAGCTCTCGCTGTACAAAAACCTTCTGTGAACTCTTGGCAAGAAGGTGAAAGATGAGGAGAAGGTGGCTATCAGGTTGCCCAGGGAAGCTGTGGCTGCCTCATCCCTGGAAGTGTTCCAGGCCAGGTAGGATGGGGCTTGGAGCAGCCTGGGCTGGTGGGAGGTGTCCCTGCCCACCCAGGGGGTGGGACTGGGTGGGATTAAGGTCCTTCCAACCCAACCCATTCCATGTTCTGCAAAGCCAAGCCATTAATCCCCTGTGGATTCTCCCCAGCAATCCTCGCTTCTGGAGAGCTGTCCTGGGTACACACAACCTGTACAAACTGGGCCCCGACGCAGTCAAGAGGAAGATCAAGAAGATCATTGTGCACCCCAAGTTCAGGAGGGAAACCTTCGAGAACGACCTGGCAATGTTCGAGG